ACCACCCTGGCTAATTCTGTTGCTAGGTGGTTCCCTGATCCACATATGGTCAGCGATTGCCTGTAATGAAAGCTTGGCAGGCCCTGGTAAGGCTCTGCTAATGTTTGGGGAGATTTTTTAATTGCCCGTATAGCATGTAAGAGAAAAAAAGCTCTGCACACTGGATCACATTTACGGCGTCGCATGTCATCAAGACCAGTATCAGGTTGCGCAGGACGCCATGGATTTCGGACCAAAAGGACAAGTTAACGACGCCTATGGAAATCTTATGATCTGCACCTACAAAGTCAGGACAGCCTCCACAAACGCCGATCTTCACGCCCTACTCAAAACTGCAGGCAGCATCAACTACCTCGTAATCGCCTTGAAGGAAACAAAGTCCAGGAAGACGGAAGTGAGACAGCTGAGTGATGGCACACGCATCATTCATGGTGAGAAAGTTCCAACACGGAAGGAGACGTTGAATTTGTCGTCCTCTGCATCAGAAAACCATCACTATACATCATTATCATCAAGTGCTATTCTCCAACATCAAAAGCTGATGACTCGGAGCTATATGCTTTTTATGACGATTTGGAGGAAGTCATCCGCAAAGAAAACTCCTATAGGTTTGTCGTGAGTGACTTCAATGCGAAAATCGAGATGCCAGAAGAAGAGGAGCCCAGGATTGGGAGATCTGGATCAGGACTGTGGAATGAGAATGGTATTCTTATCCGCCCCACGACTTCTTGGCAATTCACCTTCATCAACACTGGCGGTGGACATGGGAATCTCCCAACGGTACGACTTTTGCGGAGGTCGACCGCCTCACAACCGAAGTTGGTGTTTACTGGACGTCTCAGTAGTACCATACTTTAGCAGTGGTGCAAATCACCGCCTCCAAACAAAAATGCGATTTAGCCGAAAGCTGGAAAAGAAGATCTGCCACCGTGTTGGAGGAAGGAGAAAAGTCGTCTATGATGGCGTCAGATTGGAGGAGCTCCTGACCACTAGTAACTGGCCCGTCGATGAGGACATGACGAAAGTCTACGACCTGCTTCTTAGAGGACTGAGAGCCTGTGGTGAAAGCGCCTCAATGCCGCGCACAAGGTCGGAACGAATTTCGAAAGCCACCAAGGATCTGCTAGAAAGGAGAAAAGCAATGAGGCTGGATCCGACTGCAACACATCTCGAGCCACTGGCAGCCAATAC